ATTTGCAGGTTTTTACAGGAAGTCGTTCCAGGTGACCACCTCCCATAAGGGTTATTAATAGGGAAAACAGCTGTTCCTGCAAATCGTGAATTTCGTGAATATCGTGAAGCATCTGGAACGCAACTAATGTGTTTGTTTTGGTTTTACTTTCTATTAGTATTTTGCTTTGCGTTTGACATTTGGGGAACAGTGTTGCTTATTATTTTCGAATATCTTCGAAAGTTTATTCGAACGAACTATGGATTACGAATGTACGCTTGAATCGATTTTTCTTTTCGAATAGAACGGCCTTTCGAATCAAACTACAGAGTAAGGGCCCTGGTCAGTTTACTAAACTCTAAACCTCTGACGAATCGTTGAACCAGAAGTCCGTAAAACTATGTTCACTTTACAGCATAAATTACTTTGTTTCGATGAAATTACTTCACATAAGCCAAATACGTTCACATTTTCTTTAGATATGAGATAAGCAAGTGTACGTACGAGTGCGTGGTTTGTACTTGATTTCAAAAAACAAATGGATGCATACTTTTAGACATTTTTTTTTTAATTACTCAAAAGTAGGGGCTAAAATAAATGAAAAATCCTTTTATTCCTCATCTGGTTCTCGATTTATGATAAATTATTTAATTTATTGACAGATTTTACAAAGCGAAATTACTTGATTTCAGCATGATTTGCGTGAATGACCGTGCTTTTATTCTCATTTTTATAAACTCGCTTTCTTCTTTACTTCATTTTAATTTGCACAAATTTACATACATATATGTAAGCTCACAATTTAGTTTGCTAGATTTGTAAACAAAGCTTCTCAGGGATAAAAAATATACTATTGTTAACAACCTAAACGAGCGAAATTCATAATAGCGCTATTCTTCATCGAATGAGCGTCATAATACCAAATCAAAATTCGTTTGATCAGCACTTTCGACCACAGCCGAAGATCGAATGCAACTCATAATAGGGGCCTATACCTTTACTGTAATGTTTTCAGACGGTGCTAGCTGTTACTGCCAATATAGGAGTATTACACACGATGCAGCGAAACAAAGGTGTCGCCTTCCGCGGACCGCTAACGCTGACGTCACATTATTATTTCTTCGCACTAGTGCTGAATATTCAATTTTCATATTGTACCTATTTGCCGAAAAGTTGTACCTAAAAGTAGATATATGTACCAAAACAGTAAACATGTGCATATATTTTTGATAGTTGGTGGACCACATCTTTTTTCTGTACCAGAACATCTTTTGGACTGACAAGAAACAATATTTTACTACGTTATAAATGTACCTAAAATAATGTTGCTGTACCGAACGTACTTTCAAATTTAAGAAGCTGAAGAGTAGATGCAATTTTCGATGCAGCGAAACAAAGGTGACGCCTTCCGCGGGCCGCTAATCCCTTCTTTCTCGATTTGACAGCATCCACCCTTTCGCTGACGTCACACTATTATTTTTTCGCACTAGTGATGAATATTAATGGCAGCCCTCTTTAGTATTCTGACTGTTTAAGTTAAATATTTCCTAATAATCTTTCGTTTGTCGCGCATATTTTAAGATTTCATACAGTAATTTATGTATAATTGAAATAAATTCGACTTTTTAAACAGATGGCAAGACTGTAAAAATATTGTCAAACTAAAACCTTGTTAAACCTTTTCCGTTTGACACCCAAATATGCATATTTAAATTACCTAATTCCTTTAATTCAAGATGCATTTAAATTTTAAAACGGGTGACAACCCTGCTACATGTTTTTGGGGAAGTTTCTTCAAAGCCATTTTGATTAATACTTATAAACCTATTGCATTCATCGAACTTTACTTTGTGAACAGGTGGCAATCTTCTTAAAATTATTTTTAAACTAAAACGTCTCACGCCCGTATTGTGATTCATATTCAAGTTGCGTTTAAATTTTAAAACTGGCGGCAACCCTCCTGCATGTAATTTCGAAATAATATATCTTCAAAGCAGTTTTGATTGATAAGTAAGACTACCAAAGTAATTAATTTAACCTATGGAATACGTTGAATTTAAATTTGTAAACAAGTGGCAACCTTCTTTAGAATATTTTTTAACTGAAACTTTCTTAAACCTGTTTCGTCTGACACACCTCGGAAAAGAAGGGATAGCCTTGAACCCGAAAAAAAATTTTTTTATCGAATTTTTTTCTATGCCGTCTTCTTCTTCTTATTTGGCGCTGTAACCGCCTAAGCGATTTTGGCCGACTTCAACAAAGCACGCCAGTCGTTTCTTTTCTGTGCCAAGCCCTTTTCCACCTGGTCTTTCCAACGCAGAGGAGGCCTTCCTCTGTTACCAGCAGCGGGTACCGCGTTGAATACTTTCAGAGCTGGAGCGTCGGTGTCCAATCTCCCAAGGTACTTATCTTCCTAATATATAAAAATCCCGTGTCATTGTGTTCGTTTACGCTAATATCCGAAACCGCTTAACAGATTGCAATGAAATATTGTGGGTGTGTATTGTTGGTTCCAACTTAAAAGATAGGACAGTTTTGACCCCGAGAAGAAATGTTATTTTTCATCGACATTTATTCTATGCTTTTCGCATCGTGCATATCTTAATATATAAAAATCCCGTGACACTGTACGTTTACGCTAATCTCCGAAACCGCTTAACCGATTTCCATGAAATTTTGTGGGTGTGCATTGTTGGCTCCAAGATAAAAGCTAAGATAGTTTTGGACCCGAGAAAATTTTTTTTATTTATCGAAATTTTTTCTATGCTTCTCGCATCGTGCTTATCTAAATATATAAAAATCCCGTGTCACTGTGTTCGTTTACGGTAATCTCCGAAACCGCTACACCAATTTCAATGAAAGTTTGTGGGTGTGTATTGTTGGTTCCTACTTAAAAGATAGGATAGTTTTGAATCCGAGAAAAATATTTTATTCATCGAAATTTTTTCTATGCATCATGCTTACCTATACTATATATAAAATTAAAACCCAAAAGAAACATGAGAGCCAAACAGCTGATGTACTGGGTCGATAAGTATGTTTAATTAAAGTATTAAGTTGATCAACAATACCACGCATTGCTGGACCGTTTGCCTTTCACGCGTTTGTGTTTAGAGAGCATCAATAAACCACATACGTATGTCTCTCTATCACAGTATACCAGTAGAAAAGGTTTTTGTTTTTGTAGCTGTTTCGTGGTAAAAGTAAAAATAAATAAAGGAAAACTTGTTCGTGATATCTCGACCAAGGTGTATTCATGATACAAAAATCTGAAGGTAAAACCGCTGAGAGGCAGCCTGAACATTTATGAAGTTTGCTAACATTACAAAAATGTTTTCAAATTTCCAATCTCACAAATCCATTCTCATTTTCAGTCTCAAATAAATGAAAATTTCAATATTTTCATCTATTTGTTTTTTGTTTTACTTTTTTTTGGCATTTGAATTGCTCACAAAATTTCAATTTTATAAAATAGACAAACTTCAAAAAATAAATGATGGCCGACAAATTGAGCAACCGGTCTTACCTTTAAATATTTGTATCATGGGTGTATTAAACAAGGTGTTATTAACAACTCAGTGCGCCTCTCTTTTAAGATACCATTATGTNATAAATGAAAATTTCAATATTTTCATCTATTTGTTTTTTGTTTTACTTTTTTTTGGCATTTGAATTGCTCACAAAATTTCAATTTTATAAAATAGACAAACTTCAAAAAATAAATGATGGCCGACAAATTGAGCAACCGGTCTTACCTTTAAATATTTGTATCATGGGTGTATTAAACAAGGTGTTATTAACAACTCAGTGCGCCTCTCTTTTAAGATACCATTATGTAAAAAATATAAACAAACGATTCAAAATTCATACAATTTTTTTTCAATTTGTTTTTATAGGATGGTTCTTCTGAGAGCAATGTCAAATTCAATTACACTTTGTTAAATACATTTTGATCTCTACCAAAAAATATACTTCCTCTGTAAATATTTTATGAAGTGTTCCCAAATTCGCTCCGAGGCCGTTCACTGTTGATCATTTGATTTAAATAGTTTGTCAAACAATTAATACTATAGTTTGATCGGAGTTAATACATTCTTCAGTAATTAATTATATTATATTAAAACATAAGCTTATGAGAAATTATTTAGTCTTAAAATGCATATTTTATATCGTGTTCCGAAATTCGCTCCAAGCGCGTTCACTATTGATCTTTTGATTCAAATATTGTTTGTCAAGCATTCAATAGTGAAGTTTGATCGGAGTTTATATATTCTTCAGTAATTAATCATATTACATTGAAAAATAAACGTATAATATGGTAGAAAGTTAGAAATTATTTAGTGTTAATATGCATAATTCGCTCCGTGTTCCAAAATTCGCTCCGAGCGCGTTCACTATTGATTATTTGATTTAAATAATTGTTTGTCAAGCATTCAGTACTATAGTTTGATCGGAATTTATATATTCTTAGGTAATTGATCACATTTTATTAAAATATAAACCTTTAATAGGGTAGAAATTGTGAAATTATTTAGCTTTAACATGTGCAGTCGGCCAGAGACAATTGCAGAAAACTGCAACTACTCGTGAAAACTTACAATATAAGCAATGTAGATGAAAGTAATAAATATTATTATTAAAATTAGATCTATATATAAAACATGTTACATCATTTAATTGAAGTAAATCGGAATATATTTTTATATATAAGATAGTTTCCATTTAACTCATAAAGTACATATTTCACTACAAATATTTTTAAGATCATTTCGAATTGCGAAAATAGCGCTAATAAGTTGTATTTAAGTATAAAATATTTTATTACGTTCATGTTTACTTATGAACCGCATAACAATATTTCTCTCGCCATTTATCCGATGTTAAAATTTTTCACCACATTATTTTGCTGCACAGCACCCTGAATGCGGCAAAACAGTTGCTCGCAACCCTCAAGTCCTTTATGGGGACCAAAAACCTTTTCTACTGGTATACTGTGCTCTCTATTCTCTTCTCTTTTTATACTCAGCCAGCACAGCGCAAAAATAAAAAAAGAACCTTTGCCAGCTTCAGGCATGCGCAAGCGAAATTTATGTACAAGCAGCGCGGCGTCCAAAGCGAAATTTATGTATGTACAAGCAGCGCTGCATTCAAAACAAACAGTATAACAGTAGAAAAGGTTATTGTTTTTGTAACTGTTTCGTGGTGAAAGTCCTTTATGTGGACCAAATTTCCCCACAAGAAATTGAGCGCATGGGTGCTTTTGCTTGCCAAAAGAACGAATATTAGAAAACATTGAAAAAAAGTCTGAGATAATACAATTATATTCTACACAATAATTTGCCCTAATTAAATAATATGATAATCAAGTGTAAAAGCTCTTTTCAACTCTTATTTTTTCCAAAATAATATTGCGGATCAGATTGCTCTGAGCGCTTGTTGTAAAATGTTGTTTACCAAGAAAATGCAGCCCTGTTGGTTTTTATTTTTTTATTTTTGTATCGCATCGCGGTGAGTTTCTATTTCTTGGTAACTCAGTTTGTGAAATGGTAAACAAAAGATTGAAATTTATTGATTTGATGTGTTTAACATTTGATTAATGCAAATTTCTTTCTTTTCGGACCATGAATTACAAGCACAGCATCATCAACGGTCATTGCAAGGAGAGCTACTGCAATCCCTGCGGTTTTTCCTCTTGGTAAATGCGTTCTGGGCGTGACAAAAGATGGTCTTCCAAATCAGCCGGAATCCCCACACATCTATTGTACAATGTGAGCATTGGAATTCCATAGTGCAAATTTATATCCTATTTTCTCATAACATTTTTATTTGCATTTGTAGGAGCGTCTGATAGCCCACCAGCGTACATAAATAGAAAATACATAACGTGGCGAGGAACTTGTATTTGAAGATGATGAGTACACAACGTTGGAGAGCATCGATTTGCAATCTGAATAAGGTTAGTCATTTTCAATTTTATATCTTTGTTCGACAACATCATAGGATATGTCATCATTGCAGGCTATTGTTGCAGAACAAAACGCCGCAAGCACTGCTGTTCTTGCTAAATATATGTATACCAGCAGTACTGGTCAAAGCCGTCGGTGCAATGATTTCGATATCTGGACAAACGCCATCTCCTCATAATTCCAACAGCTTGCCGACACCTCAGCTATTTCAACTATTTCAACTAAAGCACGTGATGTAGTATCTAGTTAAAATCTATGACAGATTAGCTGTTACAATTACTCCTATAATTTTTATCAGTCACGCATGATAACAGGTTGTAAAGTTTTTGGAATCGAAGAAACTACTCGAAGAAGACGATGGCCGCAAAACTATGTAGGCTGATGAAACATCTTCTGGTATGCCTTTGACGATCGTTAGTCAGACGGAGGCTTCACATATGATATTTTAGTCATGGCTGGAGTTCGTTAGCGGACAGAGCACACATTTACAAAATATTTATCAGGCTGCAGAACGTGAAGGCATATTCAATTCCGATTTTATTGGTCGATTATGGATGGCAATCGAACTTCAGTTGAGTGGCCAGTGGCTGAAATGGTATTCTGTTATAGCCACCAATTGTAATNGAGGACCAATAATGTCTAAGTGAATATGTTCAAAACGACCTCTAGGTATAGGTATAGTATTAAAACTAGCTCTCGTTGTGTGCAGACGTGTTTTCTTTTTGCTCCGATATTTTATTTATTCTTTCGTAATGGCCAACTGCTGTGGCAAATGTAGTAAAGCGTTTTCGAGATCTGACGCGAATTTGGTGCCGTGTAATGGTTTTAGCCGGAAAACATTCCATCGTGCGTGTTGTAAAGGCATATCTGAATACGATATGAACTAACCGGCATTTAATTTACCTCTGTTAAGACTGTGTTATCATGCCGGAGAAACTTTGCAAAGTTCTCGACGAGGTCATGGGGACCCAAAGGCGTAGTATTGAGTTAATATCTAACGCTTTTGATGCTAAATTCAAAGATCTTTCTATTCAAGTTGATGCATTAAAAAATCTTATTTTATCTTTGCATTCCACCAACAATTTGAATGCAAGCAATTTAAATGCTGTTAATGTGGGTTTGTTGGCTGCTGAGTTTGATGCTAGTGCTTCGTACAACAACAATAATTACTGTTCATCGCCTGGTGCTGTTGTGGCTCCCGCTGCCCCTCTTTCGTTTGGCTCTAAAAGCGTCTTGTCTGAGCGCACATCGGCTCAGAGTGTTAACGTCATCTCTCCCGCTCGCAAAGCTGATTCTGGCGGGATTGCTAGTTCTAGTGGCTCTAAAACAGTACGTCATGTTGACGGCCTCATGGACACAAATACTGTCGCAGGTTGCACTGCCAATTTACTTGCGGGTACTACTACCACCACGAAGCCAACAACACCATGCACTGCTAATGTTTCTGTTGCTGCTAATTCATCTTTACTCGCTCCTGTAATTGTGAACAATATTTCTTCTGCTGGTTTGCCACCTGTTTCACAACATATACCGACTGGTGGTGTTAGTGCTAAATCTGAAGCTGTTAATGCTACGGCCGCGGAAGTGCCTAATCCTCCTTCTCCTACCCGCAGCCCTGTTTGGCTTACTGCTGAGAGTAAAAGGACAAAGCACATCCAAAAGCGAACTCGCGTGGTGGGATCAAATAATTGTAGTGATCTTGGAGTAGCTGCCCGCTTTAAGTGGTTGCACCTTTCGTCTTTCGTGCCAACCGTCTCCTGTGAGAATATTGTTGATTATGTGGTGAGACACGCTGGCATTGATAAGCGGCACTTAACCTGCTACAAGTTAGTCAAAAAAGAGTCGAGAC